AACAGCTCCAGTGTCGCACCAACAGTTCCAACAGTTGATGCAGCCTCTACCATTTCAGAAGAAAGTGACGTCAATTCTGAAACAGGAGACGAAGCTGAAGTCAGGCCTCTCGAATTGGATGATCAAACTCACAAGGAACCCTCAAGAAGAGTCATGAAGAATCATCCAGTGGATCAAGTCATTGGTTCGATAGAAGAAGGAATTCAAACCCGAGGTAAACCCAAGGTGAATTACAAGGAAATGGCAAGGTATGTTTGTTTCACTTCGACTATAGAACCCAAAAACGTCAAAGAAGCCTTATTAGATGAATATTGGATTCAAGCCATGCATGAGGAACTCGAACAATTCGTTAGGAATGACGTTTGGGTCTTGGTCCCTAGGCCTGACAATGTGAATATAATAGGTACAAAATGGGTTTTTAAAAATAAGTCTGATGAACACGGAAATATCGTTCGTAACAAAGCTAGATTAGTTGCTCAAGGCTATAGTCAAATCGAAGGCATTGACTTCGAGGAAACTTTTGCCCCTGTTGCCAGACTAGAATCTGTTCGATTACTCCTAGCCATTGCTTGTTTTCTAAAAATCAAACTTTTTCAAATGGATGTCAAAAGCGCCTTCTTAAATGGTATTTTAAAAGAAGAAGTTTATGTTGAACAACCCAAAGGATTTCAAGATCCACATTATCCCAAGCATGTTTTCAAATTAAACAAAGCCCTGTATGGTCTCAAACAAGCGCCTCGAGCTTGGTATGAGCGTCTTACAGAATTTTTATCGCACAAGGGATACACTAGGGGTAGCGTCGATCGAACTCTTTTCTTTAAAAAATCAAAGGGAGACATCCTGATTGCTCAAATTTACGTAGATGATATCGTTTTTGGATCTACCTCGCAAACAAAAATCGAAGAATTTGTTAAACAAATGTCTAGTGAATTTGAAATGAGCATGGTTGGGGAACTCACGTATTTTTTAGGTCTTCAAGTTAAACAAATGAGTGATGGAATTTTCATAACTCAATCCAAGTATGCAAAAAACCTTGTCAAACGTTTTGGTTTGGAATCTGCAAAAACTGTTAGAACTCCTATGGGAACGAACGACAAACTGTCGCGACAGTTGGATGCAACATCTGTAGATCCCACACTTTATCGAAGCATGATAGGTAGTCTCTTATATCTCACTTCTAGCCGACCAGATATATGCTATAGTGTTGGAGTTTGTGCCAGGTATCAATCCAATCCCAAGGAATGCCACCTTAGTGCTGTAAAACGAATCATTCGCTACGTAAGTGGAACAATTGATTTCGGTATTTGGTATTCTATGGATACTAACACAACACTTGCAGGCTTTAGCGATGCTGATTGGGCAGGTGATGCAGATGATCGAAAAAGCACAACTGGAGGATGCTTCTATCTTGGTAACAATCTCGTGTCCTGGTACAGCAAAAAACAGAATAGTATCTCGCTTTCCACTGCCGAATCGGAATATATCGCCGCAGGTAGTTGTTGTGCCCAACTCTTATGGATGAAACAAATGGTATGTGATTATGGTATTAGTCAAGATTTATTGCATGTTTATTGTGACAATATGAGTGCAATTAATATTTCCAAAAATCCAGTACAGCACTCTCGAACTAAGCATATTGAAATCCGGTACCACTTCATTAGAAATCTGGTAGAGGAAGGAACTGTCTCATTAGAGTATGTCACAACAGAAAAACAACTTGCTGACATCTTTACTAAACCCCTTGATGCACATAGGTTCGATTCCTTGCGAAATTCGCTTGGAATCTGTATTGTTTGATCTGTGCAGTTGCATAAACTGTTGCAACTGTCTGTGTCCAGACTTGTAACTTTTAGGTTTTTATGGACACATCATACATACTGCATTTTGTTCATCTAAGTTATGCATTAGTCATGCTGCATGTGATGAAAACTCTTGTGTATTGGATACTATCTGTTCTTTCAAACTTTGTGAGGTAAAACTTCATCAATCCCCGAATGATGGCTATAGAGGCTTTAGTTTATTTAATACTCCTCACAATCTCGTCATGGTTTAACACTTTCATAAGGAAAAGCTGCCTCTCCAAATGAGTGAAAGCTACTCTTGAATTTTTGTTTAAACTATATATAATAAATTGGTCTGTGAATAGTTCGAAGCCTTTTTGAGTTGAGTCAGTAAATCACGTGGCCGAAAGCTCCTACAAGACTCAAATAGAAAGCCCAGGGGACTACACATTGCACGACCATTGTAAACTCTTATATGGTCAGTGAATAGTTCGAAGCCTTTTTGAGTTGAGCCGGTAAACCTCATGACCGAACCCTCACCACACGACTCAATTAGAAAGCCCAGGGAACTACACATTGCACGACCACAACTATCTCGCTAATTAAATTGCTCTGTTCTTCATGAAAAAGCTACCATTAGTAGGGTGTGTATGCTACCTAATAAGAGCGTTTTTGTGCTTGATTTGAGGGTATTAAATTTATTGTTAGTCTTGTTAGTTTGTATTTCGGAGCTTGCTCTTTGTTAAAATTGAAGATAAACCCCATGGGTTTGATAGTCCTAATAGTATCCTATTCACTCGTGTTTACCCACTCATATTTTCTTTCCTTCTCTCACGTTTATTTTTTCGTCCTAGTAATTTAATTCTGCATATTAGGCATATATATAAAAAAAAAAAAAAAAAAAAAACGGGGTGGGTTCGTATATGTTTTGGCGGCAATCATTTTTTTTAAGTCACCCACTTTTCTGGGCATTTTTTTCTTCTCGAAGTTTTCTTGAACTGTGATGGGCTTCATATGTGAAGGTTGAGAGTTGCTGTACCTGAATTTAATTTTCATAAAATTGCTCTCATTGTTGGCAGAATAATATTTGCAATTTCTTCACTATAATCTTCCTAAATTGCTAAAATACCCATGAGAAGACCAACAGTTACCCTTGTTTCTGCCCCTTTTCGTTTTTTTTTTTTCTTCAATTTGGTTTTCTTCTCTACTGCTCTTTTTTCCTTCTTCTTCCTTTGCAGCAAATCACAAATCTGCACTCAAATCAAAGGAATCCAAGAGCACAGTTATGAGGAAACGAAAAAGCACCGGTGGATCGTCTTCTTCGTCCAAACGACGACCATCTCGACCAGCAACCACTCCGATGACCGCCCTGTCTTCGGGGAGCCATGTGATGCCGTGCCCCTTGCTTTTTGGGAGCCCCCGCTCCTTCTCACGGCTGCCTCTGCTGAGAATTTTGGGAATCTGCCCGTTGTTGTGGGTCAAAGGGTTTCTCCACCGCCATCGCCGCTAGTGACGCCACCGTCGCCGCCAGTGACGCCGCCGTCACCCTTCAACTATTCTCCACCGTCTTCTCCGCTGCCACACTCTCCGGCTGCTCAATCGTCTCCACCACCAGTTGAACCGACATCGCCGCCGTCGTCAACCACCGCACCGGCTTCACCCCCACCGCCGCCATCCTCGTCGGTCAACAAAGGCAAGGGCCTTGCCACCACACCACCGCCGCTCCGTCGCTCCCGTCGACGTGCTACTCACTCTGCCTCGTCTTCCGCTCAACCCACCACCTCTGATGACTCTGCACCCGATCCCGTGGTGCCTATATCTGCCGTCGATGCCTTTAATTCTCGGTTCTTTCTCCGAGCGAATCAAATCCGATGGCGTCTGTCAAGTGTTTCATGATTTTTATGCCAACCAACCTAGTGGGGTCTCTGATTGTCGAAGTCGTTTTTACGAAGAAGAAACTCGACTATTTTACTGCCCTTGCTCAGAAAGGGGGAGATTATTCTTGAGGGGGAGTTGACAACAAAGCATCAACCCAGGAGGAACCGCATACAGGGGGAGCTGATGCAGCTGCTGGAACTACTACTGATCCAACTGTTGTTGCTCCAACTGTTCCAACAGTTGATGGTACAACAGCTGAAGTTGATACGAATGATGACAAGGAGTTGTTCGTTGATGCTGAATATATTCTGGATTAGTTTTTTTGTGGTTGTCGAATTCATTTTCTGACCAACGGCCTCTAAAAGTCTGCTAGGCTTAACTTTTTCTTGTTTTGTTAACTGCTGTTTTCTTTAACTGTTCTAACAGTTACTCTATTATGCAGTCTAATGTTTTGTCAGGTATTTGATCAAGGGGGAGGACTTGATTATAATAAATAGATGACAAAGGGGGAGATTGTTAGAATCCGGGAGGATTCTAATTTCGGTTTTTCAACACGAGTGCGAAAAACGTGTATAAAAACTAGGGAAGTTTCCTTAGTTCTTTAAACTCTTATTTTGTCATTAATTTATTTAATTGCCTAAGAGTTTTATTAACAAGGAATTTCTTTGACTAAGACTTTCCTTGTTTACATAACTCTTCTTTTCCTTACGTAAAGATTATATCTAACCTAATGGGCTCTAATCTTGTAGGGCTCTACTAATTCAAGTAAGGAAGTATAAGAAGGGCAGCATCAACGTCGATATAGGTTGTCCCTTTTATTTTGAGAGAAAACGATTTTCTGCTCTTACGTTGCTGCTCCAGTATTCCCGGTCTTAAATCGAGAAGAAAATACAGAGAAAGGTTTTGCTTCTTTCACCGAAAAGAATATCGATTCTTCGGGAGGAGAATTCAGAAGATCTCGGGAGGAGGTCGATCCGCCGACTGAGGGACTCAGCGTTGAAGGAATTTCAACCGTGCGGAAAGGGACGTGCTGCAAAGTGAAGGTTGACAATTCAGCGTAGGATACAAGAACGGCGTCGACAAAGAGGGAGTCTTTGCATTTTCGATTAAGTCCTATTACTGTATTCGTAAAACTAAAAATTAGTGAATTTCATTTGCAGGTCCCCGTGGATGTAGGGTACAATTGTATCCGAACCACTTTAAAATTTGTGTCTTTTTATTACTGTTCCATTAACTGTTGCAACTCTTCGTAAAACAGTAGAACAATAGCTAAAACTGAATCTGGGATTTATTGGACACAAATTTATAATTAATTTGCACGAAATAATTCTAACAACGTCAATGCTAACCGTACAGGTGCTACCAACCGAGACTGGAGGCTTACACATGTTTCGCATGTTACCGCTTGGGATAATAGACTCGATTATATTGTTGATTATCCATATGCCAGTGACAGTCAGACTACAGAAGATGGTTATTTTGAGTGGTATGAACTGCACACACGTCGTTTCATATCACCGATTACCCCATCTGATCGTACAGGATTTCAGGTTGGAGGTCAGATTTCAATGGATACAGTGGTACGTATTCAAATTTATTTATTATAAAATTTTGTGTATTATATAATTTTTATTAATGTATGTCTTCTAAAAATAAAATATTTCTTATTACTTATTTCAGATTCAGCATCTTCGATCATTGATTGTTTCTGTTGATGGCGGAGACATGCCCCGGGATGGCTATCGTTCGTATTTACCGACTCTCAGAACATGTCTTAATGTCTTAGAGTCTCGACACGGACCTTCAGATAGGCCTCAATCTGAGATGCCTTATACTCAGACTCACTCTCAGACTCAGACTCAGATACCACTGTCTCAAATGCCTCAGTCACAGACTCAGATGTACGCTGGCGAGGCAGGAACTTCTTCTCGTGCATATTATCCGGCATTCGATAATTATACAGATCCTAGAGCACACGGGCATCCATCTGGTATGTTTAGTACCTTTGATTTTATTTTTAATACTATCTACAACTGCGAGTTTAATTATAATCTCGTTGACGCAGATCCGTACACCCCATACCCCTACTTTAATCCGAATATGAATTCGGAAGACCCAATTCATTTGGGGTCTACGCATCAGTTTTCGTCTTCGCGACCGGTAGATCATCAGATCACACCTATTCCTTATTTTGAATCCGCAAATTCTTCGAGTGATGAGGATGAACAAGTTGGTAGAGGGCACAGGACTAGAAGGCCCCCGAGATGTGGCACCGGAGGTCACCGTCATTGGTGATATTATTATTGTAGTTTATGTTGGTTATTTATTAAAACTTTTTCGTATTTTAGTTATTCAATAAAAAACAAATTAAATAAACTAAAGGATTTAGAGACAAAAAATATTTCCCAATAATTAGGCATTTTATTTTTATTTAATAAAATATGGAAATCGGACGGAATGGATCGAAAATGCCTTTTTTGGAAATTTTCCAATTTTTTCGGAAGTTAAAAATAGGTTCCAATTTCCGTTCCAAAAAAATCGGAATTTCAAAATCCATTCCAATTTCGGAATACCTCGGAATCGGCGAAATTTCGAAATTTTCGGAAATTGCATTAATTCTTAATGTTTTGTTCCAAAATCGGAAATAATGGTAATTTTTAGTATTTTTTTTTAATATTTTCGTAATTTTCCGGCAAAAGGCAAGAATCCAAAGCAAAGTTCAATCAAATAAAATTTAAACACTTGTAAAAACAACATAATTGATATATCAAAGCAACTATAATTCTTGCAAAACATCAATAGAAAAATAATTCAAAAATACAATATATATATATATTTCCAACATGATTATTTCAAACATATATATATATTTCCAACATAATTCAAACATGATTATTTCCGAAATACAATCGGATCGGAAATCGGAATTTCCAATAATTTTATATGTAATTCCAATTCCGTTCCAAAAATAATCGGAAAAATCGGAAATCGTAAATCGGAAATTGGAATGAAAAAAAATGTTCCAAATTCGTATTATTTTATAGTGAATTATAAAATAAATTGCATAAATAAATGAAGGAAAATTTTTAAAATACAATATATAATTAATTTAAAATTAAAATTCAATTAACCATTCCAATTTAACAATAAAAAGAATTAAGTAAATTTAAAAAACCTTAGATCAAATCCAGCCGTTGATATAAACACAATCCAACGGCTGGTAAAAGGCGTCATATTAAATGACGCTGTAATCCAGTGTGGCGGGTCAAAGGGCGTCGTTTTGAATGACGCCTTTTAACGGCCGTCCGATTGCCCAGATTAATCTCTGGCCGTCAGATTAGGAGGACAAGATAGGAGATCTGGCCGTCAATCTCAGCTCAATCCAACGGCCCTTAAAACGCGTCGTTTTAAACGACGCTTTATTGTATTTTTGTAAATAATTACAAAATGACCCCATTTCTCAAAAAAAAAAACCGAAATATTCTAAAAAAAAAAATGGCCCCCATTGATTGTAAACAAATAGTACTCTTATACATATGTTAACAGAAAAAGTAGGTTGTTGAGGTGGTAAAGATATGCCTCTTTTTATTAATAGGTCCTAGGTTCGAACTCCACCCCTTTCAATATTTGATTTTTTGGTCCACCATTTTGTTTCCAAATCTTAACATTTTTCACCTTTTTTCTCATTAAATATTTCCACAATTCATCTAAAATTTTTAAATTGTAAATTTTTGGTCCACTATATTTATAAAGTGATATTTAAATTTTTTACTCTACAATTTCGAACCCCCTTGGCAAACAATTTCGAACCCCCTTGGCAAAAATCCTAGATCCGCCACTGCTTATACTTACACATTATTTACTGAAGAATTTAATTGGAAAGAAACTATGTCAACTAACTGAACAATGGAATAAATACTATATAAATATAAAATGTTTATCTAGGTTGCACTCGAATAAATGCTTAAAGAAAAAAAAAATATGATTGAATTAATTTATTAAATAAGTTGAGAACAAAAATTATTATATACATCCAAATTTTTACAATTGGAAAAGGCTAGGATCGAATTTTTTTTTTTTTATTTCGAGTTTTGTTAATTGTGGGTGCATGATATATTAATTTGTTTTTTGAACAGTACTCAAACTGTAAATTTGAATTTTTAATTAGTTGAATTTTCTTGTAAAAAACGTGAATCAATCTTTTTTCTTTAAATTATTTCATTAAATAAGTTGGGATGATTTTAAAATAAAAATTAATGTATTGGCATTTTCAGTTATTATTTTTAATTAGATAGTTAAAATAAAAATAAAAAATAAAAATATGTCAGCCAATAATAAATAATAATTTAAAGGGTATGAGTGTCATTTCAAATTTAATGTGCACTTTCTATAACATATAAGGGGGTAAGTGTTACATTATATACTCCAGGGAGGTAAGTGTTACGAGGGTCATACTTTAAGGGTGAAAAGTGTATTTAGGGCCTGTTTGGTAAAATTAAGCACTGAATGCTGAATATATGGTTGAATCGTTAAGAGTAGTGTCTGAATACTGAATGTTGAATGTTTAAGCTTGTTTGATAACCTTAAAGTTATTGTATCTGAATAATGTAATTTTACTATATAAACCCTCATAATTATTGAACATATAATTATTTACTAGAATTGTAAATTATTAAATAAAAAAATATCAAAACTTAAAAAATTACTGTGTACCTTTTAATTATATATTATATTAATTTACACACAAATAAAAGTTGTACATCTGAATCCTATAATTTTGACAAATATAAACCAAAAAATTTCAACATAATTTAAAACATTTAACGAAAATTGCAAAAGAAAAAAGAAGTAACAAAATTAAATTCCACAATACCAATCGTGGAATGATATATATATATATATATATATATATGATATGCCTAATTGGACCAACCCAATGGGCCTACAATTTATTTACCTACTGGGCCACGAGCCCAATATTGAAGACCACTATTACCGAGGCCAAATCACCTTCAAGCAAGGTTTGGGCCCGACAATCTCAACTAAGCTATAAATACACATTTGAACTCATTCCATAAGGTACGTCCTATTAACTGAGCAATACTAAAATATGTATTCTCTGGACTATTTCCACTATCAGCACGTCTGACTTGAGCGTCGGAGGGGTTTCCGTCGGATCAACCCCCGGCCTAAATCACGTGTTCTATGATCGCAGGTACCTCAGGATCATCAAGTTGTCAAGCTACTGATCCGCTTTGCTCTCCCAATTCATTTTCTACACTACCCCAGGTGATCTAAACTTTAGCATCATCACTTTAGCGCCGTCTGTGGGAACGATGCAAACCAGATCACGTAGCCAACAAGATCCTCCTGAGGCGTCTGCTAGGAGAGAAAATGACACAGCTAACAACCTCCCAGTCCGTGGAGGCTCTGACTTGCCACCTCCTCCACGTCCCATGGATCCGCCTCGCGAGGTTCAGGTGATCCCCCCTCGGGACCCACCACTCGCCGATCCACCACTCCCTGCTCCTCGAATGGTTCAAATAACCGAGGATGCGCTTCAACGCATGATAGCAGAAGCTTCAACTCGCGCTGCCACAGAGGCCGTGACCCAATATATCGGCACGATGGGAGAAAATGCTCCCAACCCGATACCAGCACCTGCTCCACATGTGGAGCCACCTATGGCACCACCGCCATCGACTCCCTGAGGGCTTACATCTGCCCCTAAAATATTTCGCTCGCCAAGGGTTATCGACTCCCTGGGGGCTTACATCTGCCCCCAAAATATTTCGTTCGCCAAGGGTTATCGACTCCCTGGGGGTTTATAGTGCCCCCAAAATATCTCGCTCGCCAAGGGTTATCGACTCCCTGGGGGCTTACATCGCCCCCAAAATATTTCGTTCGCCAAGGGTTATCGACTCCCTGGGGGCTTACATCTGCCCCCAAAATATTTCGTTCGCCAAGGGTTATCGACTCCCTAGGGGTTCACATCGCCCCCAAAACATTTTATTCGTCATAGCAGGAGCCAACGCTCCTCCTCGTGAGGCCCCACTGGGTCCTCAACATGATCAATTTCTACTTACTTCTCGAACGGTTCAGATAACCGAAGAAGACCTTCAGCGTATGATCACGGAAGATTCAACTCGTGCTGCCACTGAATCAGTGGCACCATATATCGCCAAGGTTGGGCATCTGATCACCCCAGTGGTTCGTGATCACCTCATCCTAAATGGGGGGCTATCCCATCCTAAAGTTGGGCATCTCATCTCAAGGGTGGTACATCCACTTACCTTTCAACCCCAAGGGGTTTCACATACCATCAAGTGTTTCACGTCCCTACTTCAAAAACAGAAAAAAGGGTCTGACGCGCACGCGCGAACCAATGGCACAACCGTGCGCATCCACCTCAGACCATAGATCTCGAGCGCCTCATCCTACAGTGGGCAGTTATCCCCATCCTAAGGTTGGGCATCACCCTTACCTTTCAACCCTAAGTGGGTTCACATCACATCTCAAGAGACGAGTATAATCTCCCTACTCAAAAAATAGAACATCCCCATGAGGGTGCACATCCCATCTCAAGGAACGAGGATAATCTCCCTATTCAAAAAATAGAACATCCCCAAGGGGGTGAATATCAACCAAATAAAAAAGAAAAAGAAAAAAGATGAAGATGAAAAAATAGAAGAAAAAAGAAGTTGATGAAAAAAGAGAAGAAAAAAGAAGAAGAAAAAAGAAGATGAAAAAATACAAGAACAAGAAGAAGAAGAAAGAAGATGAAAAAATACAAGAACAAGAAGAAGAAAAAAGAGAGTAAAAGAAGAAGAATTAGAAGAAGAAAGAAAGAAAAAAGAAGAAAAAAAAAAAAAAAAAAAAAAAAAAAAAAAGGGAGGAGATGCAGCCGAACCGCGCGCGCGCGGCTCCAATCAAAAAAAAAAAAAAAAAAAAAACCAAAAAAAAAAAGGGACAGGAGGCGCGCGTGCACAGCACGCGCGCGTGGCATAGACGCGCCAGACGCGCGCGCGTGCACAGCACGAGCGACAGCAAAAAAAAAAAAAAAAAAAAAGAGACAGAAGGCGCGCGTGCACTGCACGCGCTCCAGCAGCAAAAAAAAAAAAAAAAAAAAGGGAAAAGGCGCGCGCCTCCCAAGGCAACCTTGGAGCGCGCGCTCCCATTTAATTGGGCACAACTTTTACTACTCTCCACCAAATTGCGCGTAGATTTTGACTCGCTTCACCAAATCGCACGAGAATTTCAACGCGCTCCACCAAATTGCGCGAGCTCTTTAACGCACCTACCAAATTGCGTTCGCTATCAAATGGAAAATAAATAAAAAAATATTTCTCCACACCATACCAACGATTA